CTCGATTTAAGGTAAAATTCAACCACAAACGCTTCGCAAAGAGTTTTAAAGTCATTAGTGTTCTTTAATATAAAACTATAAAACTGCCTTTTAAAATGGCTTTATCAATAAACTTTGAGTTTGCAATAAAATGATTTAAAATTCTCGCTTGCAAATAAGTTTGCTTTCTTATTTATTTAAAAATTTCAATATCATAAAAAAGGGAATCAATATTAAAGATACACTGAAATTATATGCTGTCTTGTTTAGTTGTTTCATATACGCAAAGGTCGTCGGGTTTTAAATCCATTATAAAATCAATATTTAAAACAAACTTACCTTCGTTAACGTCGGCTCCCTTCTTTTAGCCGATTCTTTAACAGTTCCTTTCTCAGAGAGCTTTTGAAATTTACAAAATCTTGCAAAAATGCGAGCAAAAATGAAATATATTTGCAAGAAATTTATCAATCATCAAATCAACTCAAGAAATGTTTGCTATTTCGCTGTCGTCATGCAGTCGTTATAATGCAAACTTTAAATTGGACCAATCAGTGTCCACTATTCATGACAGTCCGCCATATTTTTGAGATCAGTGAGGATGACCACCCACCCAACACCGTTGGTGACCCACGCCCGCGATATTTGATGAACTTTAGACTCCGCTAATGCTTTCGTTTCCCCGGGTGTAAATAGCCGGGGGGAATTAGTACCCTCGCACGGCGCTTCGCGCCGTCGGCTCGGGGATAAAAATTGGTTGTGCACACCTCCTACACCCCACATATACATGAATAACTGCACAGTAGGCAACTGTTGTTTAATACAAAATCTGGCAAAGACTGAAAGACTACTGAGCAGTTTAATAATATAAAGTTAAGATAGTCGCAGGAAATTTATTTATCAATATTATATAAAATAAATCCACAGCTTTATACTAAATGCTTACAATGCTTATTGTAAGTGTAAGGCTTTAAATGGTATATAGAAGGACACAAAGTATTTAAAACTAATGTAACTGGCAATAAAAACCGAGATAAAAACACAAAAGCCCGAGCTTGAAACAAAACGAAATTTCATACACACAAATTTTTTGGCCATTTGAAAAGTTTTTAAAAGTACTTCTTACCTGAAGAAAATACATCGAGATGCCTACACCAGATGGAGTGCAAGCCGTTCAGCGACTACTGGGTTTTGTCAATTATTTGGCAAAGTTTTTACCGCACTTATCAGAACTAAGCGAGCCTTTACGACGCCTTATAGATAAAGGTGCTATTTGGTTGTGGCAAACACAGCATGAAAGAGCTGTCGAGATGATCAAGCAATTAGTAACCAACCATCCAGTCCTGAGGTACGATGTAAACGAGCCTGTAAAGATACAGTGTGATGCGAGTGAAGTCGGTTTGGGAGCAACGCTTTTGCAGAAAGGGCAACCTGTGGCCTATGCCTCAAGGTCGCTGACAACAACGGAACGCAGATATGCACAGATCGAAAAAGAATGTCTTGCCATTTTTTTTGCCTGTGAACGTTTCGATTTGTATATCTATGGAAGAGAAAGAGTAGTTGTCGAATCAGATCATAAGCCACTCGAGGTAATTTTCAAGAAGTCCTTACTAACCGCCCCTCGACGTCTTTAGAGAATGTTGCTGAAGCTGCAGAAATACAGCTTAGATGTAAGTTACAAGAGAGGAAAGGAAATGTATCTGGCCGATACACTCTCACGAGTCTCATCATCCGAAACTGGTAGCGGCAGCAGCAAGATGAAAACAGAGCAGATTTTCCACATCAGCCAACAGACCAAAGTGGAGAAAGAAGTGGAAAGTGTGAATCATACGCCATTCCTGAACGTAACAGCAGATAGACTTAAACAAATACAGCAGCATACAGCGCAAGATATGGTCCTACAAGTATTAAAGACCAATATTCTCTCTGGCTGGCCTGAGACACGACAAGAAGTGCCCATAGTGATCAGAGGAAATGACGGTTCAGAATGGTATATTATCTTTAAGAGAGAAAGAATCGTCATTCCTAAGTCGATGTGACGGAGACCTTTAGCATGCAGAACTTTAATAATTATCTTAGAAACTTAGCTTCTTTTCAAAAACAAGGGAGATGTTACTGGATTGGTTTCCAGACTCCTACTCAGTCTTCTATGTATATATAATTAGGTAGAATATTTAATAAAGTGTTGTTATTGTATGTGTACAAAGTGGCGTCGTAGCACATGACACCGCGCCAAATCTCGCTGCGAGTGTATGTTGTTTAGTTAAGCTTTAATACATTAATACGCTTCTAGCATGTTAATTAGAATTTAAATTAATCACTTTCCTTGCCACTCATAGCATCAGAATATATAACATGCATATGTAAGTTACAAAAAATGTGGATAGGAAGAAACTTTTCGTAGCGAATTGAACTTCATCGAGTTCGCTACATTCTGAAACAGCAGCCCTAGTCTGTAATAAGAGGAGGACTTGTCTTTCAAGCCAATAGTCTGGAAATGAGACACTATTTTGTCCAACGTTGCTATCCCACTTCTTTTTTAGCCACTGCTATTTCGAAGGTCTATATACCAAATTCTACGATCTGAGGCCCTTACAGACCCTGTTTCGAATGTCACAAGTAAGTTATCGTCCTTTCAATTTCAAAGATAGAGATGTCTTTAGGAAGAATTTTCATATTTTGAAACAGAACCCCGAAACATGAAGCTTCCATGGTCTCCAATAACCTCTTAATCTCTTTTCGCAAATATATCTGTGAAACCCTAGCTCCTAGCTCCCTATCACAGGATTCGTCGTCACAGAATGGCACGTTTTCGTGCCAGATTGTCAAATGCAAAATCTGTGATTTTATTCTGCCACCATCATTTCGGAACCAAAATCTCAATACGTACCGCGTCAAGCACCATTTCACATGCACCTCCTCTCATGTCATGAACTGCATCTCATGGGCTAGATGTGGCATGCTTTATATTGAAGAAATTGGAAGATCTTTGAGGACACGCTTTGCTCATTTGCTGAGCATCGGCGTGCAGTCATTGGCGTTGATTGCAGCCTCTTGCCAGAAACGCCCCCTGTGGAAAGCTACGGTTGACGGGGTCAGCGTGGATAAATAAAGTTCTACCACTACTACCCTACAAGAAGTTACTATCGCAAGGAAACTGCTGCCGATGAACGCTTAATTAATGTAAACATCACACCCGAGAACAGACTGCGAAGGAGACTAATGAACGCTTTTAAGGAATGGAATGAATACTAGCCATTATCATGCATTTCAAGCATGTTATTTAATTTCCCTTTATATGACAGTGAATGTACATTGTACAAAAGTATGTTATACTTTTTCATATAGAGCTATAAAGAGCTATAAAGAGTATGTGGTTCTGATAAATTATGGGTTCAAATTATTATGAACATGTATAAAATGTTTATTTTCAGTACTGTTGATATTTCAGAGCTGCCAAGTTCAGATGATTAAAAACCTGGAGGTTATTAGCAGGCAGAGCCAGTATAAACAGAACAGGCTGAGCATGATCATGCATTTTATTGGCATGGCCCCATTATGTGTTTTTTTATGGCCATTACTATGCTAGCCTTCCTGCGCTAGAAGGTGTTAAAAAGTAATGTTACACTTTTGGAACATATATTTGTTTATTGGCCTCTACTTCGGCTACCGAAACATTTTTTCATCAAATTTAGGAGAAGTAGAAAAACTAGAAAATGTGCAGTGTTGTCAATCCTATTCCTTGCGTTTAAAGATACAGAATTTGATCAACATGAACAATTTTCCAGAAATATCATGAGATTTGTAAGTCCACCTCTGGGACATGGAGTTCAGCCCCAAAATCTGGAGACTCATTGGTAAACCATGAGACTTGGCAGCTAGCTTTGTCACGTAATTGATTCCTACTTATTACAAATAAATTTGGAGCCAGCATACAGATTACACATTTGGCAAACACAAAATGTCATTCCAAAATACAGAATTTTCTCTAGTAATGCATAATTTCACTGGTCTAAATAATTCCATTCACATGTCACTGTTGATGTGGATGATACGCAGTTTTTCAATCTATAAACAACTTATTCATTGCATGGTGCAATACATAAGTATATACAGTTTGTGTATTAGTATTTGATTCTCCCTATATTGTGGTTAAATTATCTTTCCAAGTGGCCTCATCTGGCAGTTGTCATACATGTAACAAACATATGTGACATTCGCAAACTGCATCCCGGAAACACCTACAAAACAGAGAATGGGTTTATTAAAATATAATGACAAAGATGGTTGAAAGTAGGCATCCTGTTGCTGTCGTTATGGCAAAAGATTGAGATGTAACCCTCTACTATTTGAGCTTCTTCCACGTGTTGACAAGCGTGCTCGTACAGACCACTATGAGATCAACCATGGAGATCAACGATTCAGTGGTACATGCCTGTTGCGAATACCGGTATACCTTGTTGACAAACTGCACGAGTGAGAATTTTAACTGTGTACAATATTGTAACTCTCCCAGTCTCCAGATTTTATCTTAATTCTCCCGGATTAGGATAATCACCAACGTCGATTTATGCACTAGCCATTTGATTCTTCGTTGTGAAAGGTTTTAACAATAAAAATTATTTGCGTTGAACATTAAAACTTCGTTTTGCCGGAAAAATAAAATTCTTTTGTTGCTGCCCGCGTTGCTTTTAATCAGCGGTTGAATGGCGCCATTTTCCGTAAACACTTCATCTTACAGGGATTTTTTTACCCGTATTGACGCCATTAAAGATGTCGATAATTTTGCTGCCGAGCGTAGCGAGGCAGCTCCCTATTCTTGACGTTTCTTGCTTTTTCGTGCCCAATCCCCGGACGAGTTATATTGGGGAAACATACTCAATCCATGTCAGTCCGTCGGATGTCAAGATTTTTCGGAAATTGTCGTCAAATCGAGCATTCGACGACTCTTTGTTTTTATTCGATTTTGATTTGTATGCGCTCGCATGATTCTTCTCAGGATTACAGTTTAGTACGAGCTTATTTACATGCAGTATGTTGATTTTAATAGCGATGCAAAGGATCGACAATATTTTCAATAATTCAGGTAAGGGTAGATGAACGCATTTATATATTATATTTAGATTTGCTGTTTTTAACTGTTCGATATAGAGGTATATTTGAAACCAACATGATTTCATAATTTGCAGTTCTATTAAATAGCCCAGTGATCGTCTTTATATTCGACGACTCTTTGTTTTTATGCGATTTGATTCGATTTTATTTATTTTGTATTGCGCTCGCATGATTCTTCTCAGGATTTCAGTTTAATACCTTGTTATTTAATACATGCAGTATGTTGGATTTTCACGATGCAAACAATCGACAATATTTTGAATATTTCCGGTATTAAGGATAGCTTTATTTCTTTCTGAATTCTAGCGATATACATGAAGGCATTGATATTTAGATTTGCTGTTTAGTGTTGGATATAGAGGCATTGAAACCAATATGATTTCATGAATTTGCAGTTCTAATAAGCCCACTGATTGTCTTTTAATATATTTATGCAAGGAGTCAAGACGTACTTTTAGTTTATCTATTTGTATGGCGATGAGCCAAGGAGGCATTTATATTTAGATTTGCTGTTTAGTGTTCGATATACAAGTATTGAAACCAATATGTTATATGTATACGATTTCATGAACTTGCAGTTCTAATAAGCCCATTGATTGTCTTTATGTTTATACAAGGAGTCAATATGTACTTCTAGTTTATTTATTTGTGTGGCGAATGGGGATGTGCCACAGATAATAGGCAGCTTTCGGAACGAGTTCTATGATTGGTTGCTTTGAGTGAGAAGGTCGAGAAGGGTATAAATGGCTATGTGATTGGCTAACGCTGTATCACGTGCACTATTTAGTGAGTGATAAATTGCCTCTGATAAATTGTTGTTGTTCTTCAGTTGTGCTTGCTAAAAATATCATGCTTTGAGGGTAAAAATGTAAAATAGCTCAGTTATTATAATAGACGGGTTCGACGACTTTTTCAAGAATGTCATGGACCAAACGAGGGACTGGTTCGTGCTCAAATTGCGGCCAAGAGTATTCCACTAGATGGAAGTCCGTGAACTGTAGTATTAAAATGTGGTGGCGACATCGGTGGGACGCGAGAAGTGAAAGCGAAGAGGTCGCGTCTGAATCGGCCAGCAGCAGTACTGATTTATGAAAGTACGCAAGAAAAGCTTTTCTCTGTAAACACAAGTACACGCGATGACCGTTGCCTTGTGGTTCAGGAAGGATCTACATATTTTTTGTGTTCACATCAACAATGTATTGACGAACAGAGCAGTGTTTGTGTCATCTAATATATGCTAGACAAGTTTCGAATTATTTTTCAAGGTAAGATGAAAGTTTGATCACAAATAACAATGTGTTCTGGTCGATACGCGTTGAAACTTGAAGCGAATGAATTAACTGTATTTAAATTATTAAATTTTTAGGTGCATACAAGTCTTCATATAAACAAGTGCAGCTCGTCGATGGTCAGTTTGTAAAAAATCTGATTGAACTTGAACATAGCTTAATAGAACATCGTACTTCAATTTTGGGTATTTGTAGGTGCCTGTGCTATTTCCAGCGGAAACAATAATCTGCAGAGGTTATTGGACGGCGCCCGAGATATTTCAGCGGTATGTTATGTGAAAATACAAATTGGCAGGAAATTTCAGTTGAATTTACGAAAAGTTAATCAATTCAATGAATATTATTTTATTTGTTTTCAATTGTTGCTTGTTTTGTTTTCTTTCTGTCACAAAATGAATAATAAAACAATTATTGAATTCGGCTTGCGCAGGATACCAGAATTATCCAGACCTTGGTCAATGTTATCTGCCGAATTCCTGCTGGATATCCTGCTCAGCCCCATCCAATAATTGTTAAATATATGAAACTGTTATAATTAAATTCTACATGTCCAATGATTCATTCAAGTATTATCATTTATATATAATATGATTTTGTCTGATATTCAGTGGCAAGCTTGCCATGGCAACTGGTCA